TTCATAAAATCAAATATTCTGAAAAAACTTGAACGAAAACCAAAGTTTCTGAATCCTAATGTTTAGACAGAGCAAAGCGCCATCTATTACCAGAATTACCACTACGGGAGTGTATAGCAGCTAACTGTCTCAGCTCGCGTTCGATAGCCCTATCACCAATGTGACCGCTAGAAGCTGACGATTCTGATTGTATAGTAGATGTTCGCTGCTCGCCACTGAATAACTAAAAATGTTGGCAGCCTAGCATAGCCAGCTGTTTCGTGCTTTTCGGCAACTAATCACTATGATCTTGGCGTGATCTATAGGAAAACGTAATAGCAACATGCTGATGAATTGTCAAAAAGGATGAAGCCTCTATCTTTGGTTGGATGAAATCATCACGTTTGACTAATTTTTCAGCTCACAATATAATTGTAACGATTGAGATTCGTGACTAGGCCTGGAAAACGCTGGAATTTTTCTAGACTTGTCGATAGGGGAATAAATACCCGACCGGATGGCGGAAGCACTCAGTCACAGTCGAGACAGACAGTCAGCGGACAGCGAGCGCGAAGTTAAGATAGAATAGTAGACACAGTCGACATAGTTAAAAACGTGTTATGAATTAGTTGCAAGTGTTATAAAAAATTAGGCAGTCAGAGTTACACCATTATGTATCGGACCTTGCGGCTATGCGTGAGATGAATCTGAGGCCATCTAGGTCACTTCCGTGGAGATTCGTGACTAGGCCTGGAAAACGCTGGAATTTTTCTAGACTTGTCGATAGGGGAATAAATACCCAACCGGATGGCGGAAGCAGTCAGTCACAGTCGAGCTAGTCAGTCAGTGGACAGCGAGCGCGATGTTAAGATGGAATAGTAGTCACAGTCGACATAGTTAAAAATGTGTTATGAATTAGTTGCAAGTGTTATAAAAAATTAGGCAGCCAGAGTTACACCATTATGTATCGGACCTTGCGGCTGTGCGTGAGATGAATCTGCTGCCATCTAGGTCACTTCCGTGGAGATTCGTGACTAGACCTGGAAAACGCTGGAATTTTTCTAGACTTGTCGATAGGGGAATAAATACCCGACCGAATGGCGGAAGCACTCAGTCACAGTCGAGACAGTCAATCAGTGGACAGCGAGCGCGAAGTTAAGATAGAATAGTAGTCACAGTCGACATAGTTAAAAATGTGTTATGAATTAGTTTCAAGTGATATAAAAAATTAGGCAGCCAAAGTTACACCATTATGTATCGGACCTTGCGGCTGTGCGTGAGATGAATCTGCTGCCATCTAGGTCACTTCCGTGGAGATTCGTGACTAGGCCTGGAAAACGCTGGAATTTTTCTAGACTTGTCGATAGGGGAATAAATACCCGACCGGATGGCGGAAGCAGTCAGTCACAGTCGAGATAGTCGGTCAGTGGACAACGAGCGCGAAGTTAAGATAGAATAGTAGTCACAGTCGACATAGTTAAAAATGTGTTATGAGTTTGTTGCAAGTGTTATAAGTTAATAATTTGGACAGTAAGAATTGTGTTTTCGTTACATTATTTTTAAATACGTTTGCTAGTTCTGTAAGACCAAAAAACGTTTGTTCATTTCTGTTCGATATACATTTGAATATTGTCCTTGCTTTTGTTAAAGATACCATAACGAAATTGGCGACAAGATCACTTATGGAAAATCATGATCCATTCTTTTTTATGTATTTCTTTCATAAAATTAATCCTATTACGAATCGATTAATTTGTCTAAGTGCGTTTCAATTCTCCTGACCTCAATCAAGGCCGAATTGCGGTCTTAAACTTGATTTGCTTAAATAAATAATCGATTTGTTTTTGCATAATCTGCATGACAAACTCTGTTGAAATCCGGAAATATATCAGCACGAACGTACAGTCTGGGAAAATAAAAATTTCGCCAGTTTTGACCTAACAAACAAGGTAAAATAACCTAAAACTAAAATACGAGATAATTATAACTATTTACTCGAAATCACATATCTGAAGGTCAACATGAATGCTAGATGAACAGTCACCAGATATTCAGGGGTACCACAGGGTTCTAATTTGGGACCATTCCTTTTTTGCTCTTTGTTAACGATATAAGTATATATTAATATTTGCCGGTGACTTGTATTTGTTCTTTTAAATCAACAGCATCAGTGTTTGTGAGTATTTACAGTGTATTATCTAAGTTGGAAGATTGGTGTTGGTTGAATAAACTGCATCTGAATGTAAAGTGGTTACATTATGTCAAAAACATGGAACAACTAAAGTATGGTTAAGAAAAGGCTAAAAGCCCGCTGTTAACTATTGAAGAATAGTCGAGAGTCGCTGAATCTTGGTTGGAAATTTTTCATCAAACGTTGATGCTGTTTCGTTTAGTCAGCAACAGTACCTTAGTTGGGATTCCGGATTGTTCTGTTGTCTCCAAGTCTATTTGAGTTGATTACAGAACTCGTTCGAACGCATTCGCGAAGCAGCTCTGTTGAACTGAACCTGCATATAAACATCGTTTCTGCAAATCGGATTGCGTGTAGATGCCTGCTTTTCTGCATTTTCCGCGAATCCCGTTACGCACGCACAACGCAGATTTATGATTCATAAAATTCTACATTTAATTATTATTATACGCGAGCTGTATCAAGGCGGCGCTTATAATAAGAATCATCGAGATATGCAAGATTTATATACCTGTCGACGAATGAAACTAAATTAATCAGAAAGCTTAGACGGATGAATGACGAAGTAACTTGGTCGAAAGTAACTACAAGTAAAAAGATATTGAAGAGTGCATTTGATAAGAAATATCCAAAATCAAAGGCTTATCAGATTTGAGATAGAACGTGCGAAAAGCGGTTTGATTATAAGGAAAGCACACATAGGGTGGATTTCACCAATGTTGTCAAATTAACAGGCCGTTATTCTCCATCCAAATACAGCGAATGAACTTCAACATCCAATCAACAAATTTCAGCAACCAATACCTATGAAATGTTGAAAGCAAAATATTGTCAAAGTATGAGATGAAACATCACCAGCTTATTGAATATTCTCACAAAACCATTCAAGTTTTTTGATATCCATACATCCATAAAGATGAATATTTTTCGTTGTTAAGGAACTGAACAAACATCCACACTATATTTACAGTCATTAAGAAATACCCAAATATATGTCTTAAAGCTACCAGCAAACCTAAAACCTGCAAACAAAACTAGAAATTTGCCATATTTTTCTTTTTTCACGAGTACACATTCTAGGTTATATAATTAGTCAGTATTTGAATAACTGCTGATTATTTCATGTCAAAACTCCCCGACTATCACATGTGTAGGATCCGTCAGCCCTTGGTCCCAGTCACAAAACATATGCACTGAAAAAGGTTTAATTCCATGCTATTCAATGACAACACGGTGACTTGTGTGGCTGTCAGCGGCCATTTTTTGAGGATGCGACATGGTTGCCAGATTGTGCATTAATATCCCGTTTCATGCCTTATACTATGCCTTATAAGACTATTCGTGGAATTTTTCCCAAAATCGTTGCACAACGCTTGAAAAAATGCAAATTATTTCCATGACGCCCCAAAGTAGCTGCGTCGGTACCTCGGGTTATACATCTTGACAGACGGGATGTTCGATACGATCTTATATTTAGAAGTATCGACACTTTTGCTTCCCATACCCGATATTTTTGATCGATATTTTTATATACGACACTTCGGTGTATCGATAAATTTCACGAGTATCGTCATCTTTCGATCCGGACTGTGTCAGAAAGAGTGACTAACTTCAGATTACTTTTCTTCTTTGTTTCCTTCCGCTGGATATCGATAATTTTATTCCAATATCGATACTTCCTAAAACGGTAGTTCTACAAGTTCCATAGTAGTAGCATTATGTTCTTGTCATCTTATTTGAGCATCAGACAGCATCTTGTAACTTGTTACCTTGAACAACACTACCCAGAACAACGACGGTTTCATGTGGCGGCCCACAGGGTTCTGTGCTGGGACCACTTCTATTTGTCATATATGTAAATGACCTTCCTAATTGTAATACAAACAGAAACCTGATACTCTTAGCCAAAGACTCAACAATGATCTTTAGTAGCAAACAGGTTGATCTACTTTATCCTGCGAATATTCAATATACAAAAAATTTAAAGGATATATTCCTAGCAAATTGGTTCTTCAAAGATACAGTCCATGGTAATAAGTTTTTCTTAACGAGAACAGCATAGGCATACAATTTTTTACAGACTTTTCAGTAAAGCTTTTTATACTATCGAAGAATTTTTAAATAATAACTTTTCGGATCTAATATAATGGTGTTGTAGTGTGCTTGATTAATTTGTTTGGATGCTTGTTCGTTTGTTAATTTGTTTGGTATGCTGGTTCTATAGTTTTGTATTTAATTTGAAATCATAATATCATTTTACAATTTTTCGGTTACTGTTTTTTGTTTCAGTTTTCTATTCTTTCCAACAAATTTTGTTGTTTTGATGAAAAAGAGATGAAATGACATGTGTACATGTAAGTCCTAATGTTTTGAGCATCCTGCGTTTCAGCTCAGCAGATCACGAGTGAATTGCATATACCCATATTATAAAAGGATATGACGCTGTTCCATACGCAATTTCATTACTCACTCTTAATTAAATAACAGTACAAATTCTCTCAATAAACAGAATAATTATGATTTTTACGCGGAGTTAAGTGAAAAGTAATATATTAAATTAACGTGATCAATTATCTACTAGCTGACCAATTAACGTTAAATTGGCTTTATCGTTTCCTAAGGTTAAATCAATTTGATTACTTTGTATAACCAGCTACACATGTATACCCGATTAAATGCTACAAAGTAGGAGAAACATTGATGTGAAATTGATGGATGTGAGACTCGTGAGGTCGCGACGACAATTCTGTCGAATCATCGTATCACATTTGTTACAAGATCATTCGACATACATAAATAATACAAAACTAAAGGTAATAATAATTCTTACCTGTATTCTAGCTTCAGTTAAGCCTATTTTCATTGCCAGTTCCTCCCTGTAACAAAAAATGTCGACTGAGCTCTTTTACAAAGTTTATTTCGTAAGCCGTACAAAGAACGTTCGGAACAAGACCGGAAGCCTCTGAAACGTGAACGAACGATAGTTTATTTTTTGCCATTATCTCCTTATACAATTTTCTACCAAACATCTGAAAGATATGCCTCTGAAGAACTTTAAACTAATTTTTTTACACTGACGAAGTCGCGCGGCCTAAATGCCGGGGCACAGCAGCTGCTATTGCGATGGCAAAGAAACTTTGTTAATCTGATTTTCGAACATTGCTTTATTTCAACATTTTCATTCATTCAGTTTATTAAGTGCGATTCGGACACAGCAAAACGAGTTGGATCTTGTGGAGAAAATGTTTATCTTCTTGATTCTGGCTAGTAGTTCTTCTGAATGACAGCCCCTAATCTAGACCACCCTTGCAACCCCGATAACCGGTGATTTAGTGGCGACAGCGAATTATTTCCAACCACCAAAGGTGCCGTAACGACATCCTGTTTCCTTTTTATCGTCAGCGCAATAGTAGCGCACAGAAAGTTGATGATGCAGGTATCGGCATCGAGCTTTCCGTCAGCCAGAAGAAAGACATAATTTTGTTTTTGTCCGTCGTGACCGACCGGCCGGGCTAAATGCCTAATTGGAGTCTGCTTTCTGGTAACGCCGCATTTGAGGCGACCCGACAAATTGCGGACATCTCGGAATGTCAGCGTACGATGCATCAGGCGTGGATCTAGTCCGGGGTGCCGAGGCACGGTGGCCTGGAACACCGAAAAGCTGACAAGTTCAAAAAGTGGTGCTTTCCGCGTGTGACGCGGAACATTGAAATTTGGAACATTTCGAGATTTTCAAATTTTGAAATTTTTGCTCAAATTTTGAGAATTTTAAGTATCACACATTTCGAAGATCTACAACTATTGTGAATTCTGAAAATTTCGAAAATTTTTGGATATTTTGAAAATTTCGAAAAATTTGAATTTTCAAAATTTTCGATGTGTTCACAAATTTTTAAACTATTACAGATCTTGAAAATTTTTAAACTCCTGGAAATTTAGAAAATTTTGAAAAATGAGTCATTTTTAAAATTCTGAAAGCCTTTCAAATTTTGAAAATTTTATAATTCATGAATATTCTGAAAATCTGGTAAACTTCGATTTTGATTCAGATAATTTTTGAGAATATTGACAGTTCTAAAAGTTTTGAATACCTTGGAAATTTTAAAAAATTTGGAATTTTCAAGATTTTTGAATACATATTTACAAATTGTGAAAATTTTACAAACCTTGAAAATTTTGTAAATTTTGGATATTTTGATGAATTTGGGATTTTCAAAATTTTGGAATCCTTACAAATTTTGAAAATTGTAAAAATTTGAAGAATTGAGTTTAAAAATTTTCAAAATGTTGAGAGATTTTGAAATCAAAAATTTCGAAAATTTTACAGATTCTGAAAATTTTACAAAGTTCGCAAGTGATGAAATATTGAAAGATTTGAGATTCTTAAAATTTTGAAATCTTCATAAATCTTGAACATTTCACACATCCTGAAGATATCACTAATCTTGAAAATTTAGAAGATTTAAAACGATTTGAAGATTGTAAAAATTATGGAAATTTCGAAAATTTCACCGAACTTGAAAGTTTTGAAAATTTGAAGGTTTGGAAAGATTTGAAGACTTTTAATTTTGACAATTCTGAAAACTTTGGAAAATTCGGTAATTCAGAAAACTTTGTATTCAAAATTATGAAACCTTTACAGAGTTTAAAATACTGAAAATTTTACAAATACCGGAAATTTTAAAAATTTTGAAAAACTCAAATCTTGAATATTTTGGAAGTTATAAGAATTTTGAAAAATGCATCATTTAAATTTTGACATCACAAATATTGAAAATTTGACATATTTTGAAAATTTTGAAAACTTTAGAAACTTTGAAAATTTCGAAAAATTGGGATTTTCTAAAATTTTGCAATGTTAACAGATTTTTAAATGATTTCAGATCTTGAAAATTTTGAAAATCCTGGTAATTTTGAAAATTTTGAAAAATGAAAACGTTAAAATTCTGAAATCATTACAAATTTTGAAAACTTTATAAATCATGCATATTCTGAAATTTTTGAAGACTTTGATTTAGATTTTTTTAGAAATCTTCAAGATTTTGACAATTCTAAAAGTTTTGAATACCTTGGATATTTTGAAAAATTTGGAATTTTCAAGATCTTGAAATATTTATAAATTCTGAAAATTTTACAAATCTTAAAAATCCTGTAAATTTTGATAAATGCGAGATTTTCCAAATTTTGAAACTTTGAAAATTTGGAAAATTGAGTGAAAATTTTCAAAATGTTGAAAAATTTGAGGTTTTCCAGATTTTGAAACCACAGATTTTGAACATTTTACAAATTACGAGAATTTTACAAACTTTGCAAGTTTTAATAATGAATATTTGGAAGATTTAGAACGATTTGAGGATTGTAAAAATTATGGAAATTTTGAAAATCTTTTTGAATATTTTACAAATTTTCCAAATTTCACAAAGCTTGAAAATTTTGGAAAGATTTGAAGACATAAAATCCTGGAAATTTTGATACTCTTAATTTATCTGAGAATGACACGCCACCATCTGATGTATCATGATACTTTTCCGCATGCGGCGCGGAACGAAGAAAATTTTGCTGAATTTGATAATTTAGAAAACTTTGTATTCAATATTATGAAATCTTTACAAAGTTTGAATTCTACAAAATCTGAAAATTTTACATATCCTGAAAATTTTGAAAAATTGGATATTTTGAAAAAGAGGTTTTCAAATTTTGAAACTTCTACAAATATTACAAACTTTGAAGATTTTACTAACTAAAAATTTTGGAATATCGCCTGAACAAAGATATCCTGAAAATCATGCGAGTTTTGAAAATTTGACAATCGAGAATTTTGAAGAATTGGAAAATTTTTAAAACTTTGGTGATTTTGAAAATTCTGTAGTAAACTTTGAATATTTTGAAAACTGAAAATTTTGATCTTTTTCAAAATTTTGAAAACAATGAAATTTTTTTAAATTTAGGAAACTAAAAATTTTGATTGATGATTTTGAAATATTCAAAAATTTTGTCTCTAGGAAACCATTTGACGGCAACTTGAAAAAATTCAGATAATATTTCTGCCGTACTATATCTCAAAATCGAGCGATGAGCTTTTTGATATATGGTTTTTTTTGCTATACGGTATTGAAAGGTATCCTGGAATCTGAGTCCGTCTCTGTCGGACACGCATCTTCGTCTCGCCAGTCCAGCGGCTGTCTCGCCGCGACTAGATTTCAACTCTATCTTTGTTTATCTGTGGTTGCGAACCCGAACACGGTATCCGCATTTCATATTCCAGATAAGGACGCTAATTTCGGGAATTTTTTTTTCTTCTAATAGCGCCACATACTCCTTGGTCTTCAGCGGCTCAAATTTGGTCAATTAGCGGTATCTCTTACTAAGTGATACTAATTCCTACCATTCGGCGAACTCAGATGTACCAATTCGGACAATTTTTCGTCAGCTGAAGGATTTTACATACATTAACGATAAGCTGCATGTTTTGTTATTGGGTTTCCCAAAGTTGGATGCATGTCAAGTCTGGGAGCTAGGTTAGTTTTTTTGTGAATTCGTGAATCACGTTCCTCCACTGTGTAATCTTAAATTTGAAAATCTTGAAAACTGAGAATTTTGGAAATTTTGATAAATATGCCCATTTAAAAAACTATGGAAGTTCTAAGAGTTCGGAAAATCTCGTGTATTTTGAAAACTACTATTTTGAAAACAGAAAACTAAAAATTTTGTGAATTTTGAAAATTTGGGGATTTTAAAAATCTTGAAAATCTCGAGAATTTTAAATTTTTGAAAAATTTAGATTTTCTTGGAACATGGCAATTCTGGAAATTTTGGAAATACCTAAACAGTTTGAAAAGCTGTAGAATTTGAAAAAGTTCAATAAAAAATCTCGAGAAGTTTGATTATTTCGAAAATTTTGAAAACAGGAATTTTGAAAATGTAGAAAATTTTGAATCTTCTGAAAATTACGGAATTATAAACATTCTGAAATATCTCACAATTTTGAAGGTCTCGAAAATGTTTGAAATGATAAAATTTTTGAAAACTAGGAAATTTCGAAAATTATGGAGAATTTTGAAAATTATATACATTAACGCAAGTATTTTGTGATTGAATTTTTGAGAATTTTTGAAAATTTAGCGTTGAACTATATTAACGTACTTTGTGGCTGAGTATCCCAAAGGTGAATACATGTCGAATCTGTGTACAATGCGAAAATTAAAAGGTCATCGAATCCCCAGAATTTGAAAATTTCGAGAATTTACAAATTTAAATATTTTAAAAGTTGTTTAACTGTAGAAAACCTTGAAGGTTTCAATAATTTTTAAAATTCCGATTATTTTGAAAATACCGAAGGTTTATAAAAATTTTGTAATTTCGAAAAGATTCTAAAAAAACTGAACATTTTGATGTCAAAAATTTTGAAAATCATGAAAATGTTGAAATATATTAAAGTTGCGTCGAATCTTGTCGACGTCCCCTATGATAATTTGAAACTATACTGATAGCTTCCTAGTGATACAAAATCCTTTCGGACAATTTTTTGTCAGCTGAAGGATTTTACATACATTAACGATAAGCTGCATGTTTTGTGATTGGGTTTCCCAAAGTTGGATGCATGTCAAGTCTGGGAGCTAGGTTAGTTTTTTTGTGAGTTCGTGAATCACGTTCCTCCACTGTATAATCTTAAATTTTGAAAATCTTGAAAACTGAGAATTTTGGAAATTTTGATAAATATGCCCATTTAAAAAACTATGGAAGTTCTAAGAGTGCGGAAAATCTCGTGTATTTTGAAAACTACTATTTTGAAAACAGAAAACTATAAATTTTGTGAATTTTGAAAATTTGGGGATTATAAAAATCTTGAAAATTTGAAAATTTTGAACATGGCAATTCTGGGAAATTTTGGAAATACCTAAACAGTTTGAAAAGCTGTAGAATTTGAAAAAGTTCAATCAAAAATCTCGAGTAGTTTGATTATTTCGAAAATTTTGAAAACAGGAAATTTTGAAAATGTAGAAAATTTTGAATCTTCTGAAAATTACGGAATTTTTGAAAATTATAAACATTCTGAAATATCTCACAATTTTGAGAGTCTCGAAAATGTTTGAAATGATAAAATTTTTTAAAACTAGGAAATTTCGAAAATTATGGAGAATTTTGAAAATTAAGCTCTATATACATTAGCGATAAAGACAAGTATTTTGTGATTGAATTTCTCAAAGTTGGACACATGTCTAGTCTAATTTCTTATTTTTGTAAATCTTGAAAATTTGTATTATTGTTAGAATCTTGGATTATTCAAAATTTCAAGTATACTAAGTGACATATAAATCCGAACACCCAGTTTACATGGTTTTATTTTAATAAAATTTTGTATAAGTACTTAATGAAGCATAATAAGTAAATGATAAAAATTTCAAAATGATTGCACTGCTTTAAAGCCCTTTGACCTTTAATAATGTGTGGATGCACCCTGATGTGCTACGCATTCTGCAACGCGTCTAGGCATGCTTCTGATCAGGTGGTCAATGTCCTCCTGTGGTATCTCATTCCAAGCAACCACCAACTCCTCTCGAAGTGCTTCTAGAGTCTGAGGAGGACGTTGCAAATTGAGCAATCTCCTACCCATCATATCCCACACGTGCTCAATTGGGGATAAGTCGGGAGATCTTGGTGGCCATGGTAACAATGTGACATCATTATGTTGAAAGAAGTCTATTGTGACTCTTGCAACATGTGGTCGGGCATTATCTTGTTGGAAAGTTGGATCTGCCAGGATGTCAAGATAGGGTAAAAGATGGAGTTCTAGAACTTCGTGGATATAACGCTGCGCGTTCATGTTATCTCTGATGAAGATTAAAGGTGACCTGGAACCATAAGCTATAGCACCCCAAACCATAACTCCAACAGTGTGATGAACATGTCTTTCAACAAAAAACTGTGGATTCCTCCTTTCACCACGTCGCCTTCTAACCCTGGCACGACCATCGTGCATGCCTAAACAAAATCGAGACTCGTCACTAAAGACAATACTGTTCCATTCCTGATCCCAGAGTGACCGTTGTCTGCACCACTCAAGGCGATTACGTCGGTGTTCTCGAGTTAAAGGGAGGACCCAGTGTGGCCGGTATGAAAACAAGCCAAAACTTCTCATTCGTCGGTAAACACTTCGCATGCCAATAGGTCTTCCGTGTTCTGCAAACCATTCATTTGCAATGGACCTGGTAGTGGAGAAACGGTCCCTTAAGGCCAATAATCTTGGGCGACGATCTTCACGGTCTGTTGTTCTACGGCGGCGTCCAGTGCCCCTTGCTCTTTGCGTACGGCCTTCTCGAAGCCATGCCTGACAACACCTAACCACAGTGTCTACACTTCTTTGCACTCTAACTGCAATTGCCCGAAAAGAAAGTCCAGCTTCCCGAAGTCCCACTATACGGCCCCTATCAAACTCACTAAGTTGACGAAATCGTACAGGTCTTCGTACTCTAGGCATCGTAACCGATCGTAAAGGATGTCAAGAACCAAAATCCGCCAACGTTGATTCTTTACTGCGGCTGAAATATTCATTTTTAGAGCGTTAGTGGATTAAAAAAAAGCAGTATAAAAACGGGAATGTCCAACTGATAAGGCTGAAAATTTTTTCACTTGTTATTTACAGTAAGATAAATACATTCACCAACTTTTATTAAAATAAAACCATTTAAACTGGGTGTTCGGATTTATATGTCACTTAGTATATTTTTAAAACAGGAAATTTTGAAAATTTCGTGAATTCTACAAATTCTGAAAATTTTGATAAACCCTGAAAATTTTGAAATATATACAAATTTTGAAAAATTTGAAATCTTGAAAACTGAAAATTTTGAAAATTTTGGGCTAGGTTAGTTTTTGTAGTTCAATCACGATCATACATTACATCTCACTGGTCTATTTTATAATTTTGAAAATTGAGAAATTCTGAAAAGTTTGAGAATCCTGAAAAGTTTTGAGAAATTTTTGAGTATTTTGAAAATTTAGCGTTCAACTATATTAACGTACTTTGTGGCTGAGTATCCCAAAGGTGAATACAAGTCGAATCTGTGTACAATGCGAAAATCAACAGGTCACCAAATCCCCAGAATTTGAAAATTTGGTAAATTCTTAAAGTTTTGAAAATTTCCAAATTTGATTATTTTAAAAATTGTCAATATGTGGGAAGTATTGAAAGTTTCTAAATTTTCGAAAATTCCGAATATTTTGAAAATTCCAAAAATTTTTAAAAATCTTGAAAATTCAGAAAAAATCCAAAAATTTTGACAATCATGAAAATGTTGAAACATTTAAAAGTTATAGATAACTTCCTAGTGATAAAAAATCCTCACGTCGTACAAACAAAACCAAACTACCTACCTGGTGAACACATCCGGATAATGCGTCCTCGAAAACGCCTTCTCGAGCTCCTCCAACTGATAACTAGTAAACGTCGTCCTGTACCTCCTTTGTTTCCTCTTCGGCGCGAACTCGTCGTGTTCCGGATCACTACCCGCGCCGTCGCTGCCTGTACCGCCGCTCCCGTCAGGGGCGGTACCGGGCGTGGAAGGCGGAGCCGGCGGCTCTTCCGACTGGTTGTGGTGGGGATGCGCGTGATGGTGGTGGGGGTCGCCAGACGCCGTTACGACCACGGTGGGCGTGGCTGTCAGATCGTCGGGAACGACGCCCATTGGTGGGATTTCGGCGGGCGGAGGGGTAGCGGGCTGTAAAGGAGGGGGGTCGCCGGGCGCGGTGGTGGTTGTTAGCGGCGGAGGTGCGTCTGGAACAACGGAGAAAAGAAAATTAGTAGGTTGAAATTGTCCTGTTTATGTTTAAGGTTCAACGTTTGTCAATGGCATATTTCCATTTTCGTCCCCAGTTTAAAAAACTCGTTTTGAGTATGACTACTTTCTTTGTGAGTACCCTGTATGTACCTACACATAATCTAGCTGACACCGTCAATAAAAATAATCGACAGTAAAGTCGCCCACCGCAAACAACGACAAAATAAATTAGACAGATAGCAATCACATGCCGCGGAACCTTGTTTGAGAATAACAAACACAAACTTAATCCCATCAACTATGAAATAATTAAAAGTTAATTTCACGCGCCGAATCCGACTGACAACTGAATAATACAAAAGTTAGTATGATTCACGACAATTAAATCGTTAAATAAATGTGAATTTTCATGGTGTCTAGCGATGACAGAAAAACGTCCGTCGGGCGGAATAATCTGACTAATTCGCTATTGTTTTCTATTGACATTCGACATCAATCTGTACAGCCCCGGATCTAAGGGGGGCGAACAACAAGGGTTCGAAATGTCGTGAATCGTTTTTAAAAGTAATAGAATCATAATAGTGTCACGAGTGACGACCATGTAGCGCCATATACGTTGGTAGATATCCTAAGCCTAAATAGGCGCTCCTTGTTGGGATCGGTGATGAGAAAGCCGACAAACGCGACGGTGTTGCCAGATTGGGAATCACAACCCTCGTATGTCAAAAAACTTGAACTCAAACATCGACTATTATAACTACATTGTTCCACAGTATTGAGATCTATAAAAAATGTTGTCACAACAGACCTGGTTAAAGTCGAAAATATCTGAAATCCATTCTTACTCTGATATAAAACAGAAAGAGGAATGACCAGCCTACTGAGATGTGTCAACGCAAGCATTAATCAAAGTGATACGAACGAAAACTGACAGCTTTCGACTAAAACAAGAATAAAGAACTTTTTACCGGCAAGTTTACCGTATATGATTATTTTAACAGAGTACCAGAGAATGTCTTGTTATATATGTAGCGTTGGGATGAACTCACAACCCAACGAGGGAGTACTGTGATCCCAAAAAAATTGAATGGGTTACAAAATTTTAATACTTTGTAATGTTATGACGACAATATCGCGGCCAAAGCTAATGGCGACCATGTTATTTAAAAAACAAAAATGAATTTTATCGTGGAATCCGGAACGATGTAGTTGTCAAATCGGGTATTGTATTTGTGCATATCCTTCAGGGTTTTCAAAGCATTACAGTTTTGTTTAACATACGATAAACTTTCCTGTATATATGAATTTGGGACAGTCAATAGTCTAAAATTGAGTAACAACTGCTTTCAACAATCTTTGAAACGATGATACGATGTTATTAATGCTGTTTTAAATACTTGGGTGTTGAAAGTTTTTTGTCAATGAAATGATGTGATCTTCCCAAGTTAATTCTTAATCACGGAATTTAGTTGGTGGTGTCAACTCGCTATTGTGATCGAGTACTGAGATTTTGTGGTATTAAGGGATAACCTGTTAGCCACAAGCCAATGTTGCATATAAGTGAAACGCTGCTGAGAATCTATTATCAGTTGCTGGAGGATTTTGTTGGAAAAGATGGTTGTGGAATCACTAGCAAGAAACATGCATTTATACTCGATATTGTTCGGTAGGTCATTAATGTATATTAAAAAAGAATAGGCCCTAATACTGTGCCTTGCGGCACTCCATGCTTCATAACATCTCTCTTGGATACACAGTACTTAGAGTTTCAATACTGCAACCCTAAAGGGAAAATCGACACAAAGAAATCATCAAAATCGGAGATAAATAAGATTTTTTTTTCGATAAAATCCCATCACTACCTGAATATATCGCGTGCAAGTTGTGTCATCCTTGTAGCAAAAACGTACGCCGGACAGTGTAAATGCCCCTTCAAAAATAAGGTAATTATAATACGAAATCCACTTAAATTGACATGTAATTTAAGCGACGTATATATTGTAAGATGCGCCTTTAATTGGAAACTCAAAGTTGCTCAAACCAGGGATAAATTACGGCGTCGGATGCCTTCAAAATGTGTATCGGTAAATATTGCGGCAAAGCTGAAATTATATCTATAACAAGATCAGTGGCATACGTAAGGGAGACGTTCAAATATGCAGGGTGTCCGCAAAGTTAGGGTTTTCCTTTACACGACGTGTAGATCTTGAAAACATAAGCAATTTTTCTTAGTACCATATACACCAATGTCTTAGTGGAACCGAGATAAAGGGCTCTGCAACATCAAAAATATCTGAATACCGTCCTGTAGCCGCGACCCGCCGCGATATCCCCGACTGGTACAAGGTCTCAACCCGACGGCAGAACTGTAGAGGTGTAGAGGTAATCGCGTAGACGAGAATCCCTCAACAAGCACTAGAGACGTGGCTAGAGAAGTGCAAGTATCAAAAACTAAAGTGTGGCAAACGCTGTGTGAAGAGGGGCTGTATCCGTTTCACATCCAACGTGTACAAGCCCTTCAACCTGACGATTTTCCAGCAAGAGTGCGGTTTTGTGAGTGGTTGTTGCATCAACATGACAATAATCCGGACTTTTTGAAGTGAATATTGGTGACAGACGAATCTACGTTCACGCGTAATGGGGTGAATAACTTTCGCAACATTCATGTTTGGTTAGTAGAAAATCCGCACCATCAACAAACATTTTCGGTGAATGTTTGGGCTGGGGTGGTGAACGGTATGCTCATCGGACCATTTATTCTCCCAAATCGATTGGACGGGATGCAATACCTAGACTTTTTACGCAACATTTTGCCTTCCTTGTTTGCCTGCGTCTGCTCGGTAGCGCATCAGCTGATTTCATTTTCTGTTGGAGCGGTATGATTTCGGGCAGAGACGTACTTAGCCCTTCTCGTCAACTGGAGAGTGAGTACTTTTTCCTTTATTTTTTTCTACTTGGTCGCACTCGTTTCACTACACACTACCTTTGTTATTTCAAGGGTAGTAGGAAAACCCCAACTTTGCGGACACCCTGTACACTGCCACAATTGAATTGTTTATGGCGATGAATCGCATGATTTTCTTCGAAACAGCATATATTCTTCAATAATTGAGATATTGACGTGGATCAAAAAAAGAACTGTTGAGAAAAGTTGAGGCTTAGAATCCTCATACGAAGACATAATATTCAGTGATCCAATGTTTCCACAGGGTGTTCAGAAATTTAGGGCAAAATGCACCTTTTAGATGTATAACAACAAACATTTCCAATTTTTTGCAAAATCGAACAGTTGATCAGAAAACTAACGAAATTGAGCAAAGGTTAAAAAGTTATTTAAAATTTGATTTGGACAAAATGTTGAGATGTCTTATTAGAAAGTTTGTGCTGAGAACGTAGTAACGCTATTTTTAATAAATAGATTGCTCTGACCATTCATCGAGCTTGAAATTTCTTCTCTGTATCTCCGACAAGGAATATTATTGAAAGTTCTAGTAATTCTCGATATTCGTCTCTAGCAATTTCTTTGTTCAATTCATGCCGATAAAATTCTACACAGCCTACCCGTCACCCCTCCAAAACCCTTCAAAAAATTAAGTCATCAGATGGACCCTGCTCCAAATATGGTCAAAAAAAACAATTCAATTATGATCGTTTCCACTCTACGGTCTTATGCCCAGAATGTTGTAGATAGCACAGAGTCAATCCACTTTACGCCATTTTTTTAATTAAATAAACGAGATAAACTCAAAGGTAAACAGTCGTAAGTCCATTTCGACTCAATTTTGAGGTATTTTAGTAATATTACAACGAAATCAAAATATTCAGTAGTCACTATTTTATTAAGCACCACCTTTTTCATGTTGGTGTTTTTAATTTAGAAAATACAATATATCCGTTATTGAAGGAGTGATAAAATTTTTGTTTGTTTCATCCATTACTAGAAACTTTAGTTTTTAGATTTACGATTGTTTCCCGCTTGGGTACAAAACTTTTCCTTCAGAAACTAGGTAGATCATTTTTGATAGCTGAATGCAAAAATGTTGGTTATTCTAGAGCGAACCCCGCCACTGACCAGGTTCAGCAAGGGCATTAAATATGGATGAAAGAGCGTTCATCGTAACCGGTGAACTCAAAATAAATTATTAATTAAATATATTTAATGCGATTAGTGGTAATATCTTAATGCTGTTACTTGTTGATGACTTTATTATAAAAGTTTAAGAAAAAGGCGATACGTTTCGTTTTTACTTGAATTATCCAATTACGCAGCAGTTTAAATCAAACTTGTTAGTTTGTACGACACAAAATTACTAATCTACTAATTTCTTTGATAAGCGAGATTGGCCTTAATTTATGCGTTATTAAAACACATAGTCACACGTTTGCGATTTTGTAAAAATTTGTCCGATCAACGGTATTTAGCCGATCCATCTATGGACAAGCAGTTAAGTAGTAAGGCACCAGTAATTTTTATCTGTTATTGGCGATATTGTGTTTTTTGGATGTCACTCATTTCCGTCTGTCTGTCCTTCTATAAGCTAATCTTATAACCGTCAAAGACTTGAGAAGTAACGGTCGGATTTCGATGAAATGTTCACATAATGTTACTACTATGCCAAGGTAGTTTTTGCAAATCGGTCTAAATGAGAAAAAGGCCAAATGCAGAAAAATAGAGAAACTCAGTTTTTTAGACGTTTTAGACCAGAGTTCCCCAAACTTTTTTGTGTCGTAGACCCCTTGCCATGTTTTTCCGTGTTGTTGTTACCTGATATTGATTTCCTGTAAATTTCTAACTGTAGTGAAGTTTAGATAAGTTTAGTAAAGTAAAAACACATGTTAATTTATACATTTATTAATTGAATTTAAACTAAAACTATTCAAAATAAAATTTTGTATCTGTTATGTAAAATATACGTAACATTAAATAAACAGGTGTCTGACCAATAAGTGCCCGCATTGAAAAAAAAAATAAGAGGGATAAAAAAAAAGTGAAAAATA